CTAAATATTTAAATTAGAAATATGTATTATTAGGTTACCTAAAATAGATTGTACATATTATTATTTAATGGAATGAAAGCGAAGGAAAAAGGAATTCAGCCAATTTTCTCAAAAGTGGTTACTTGTGTGTACGAAATACAAAGAACATCTTTCAAAAAAATATGATTTGCATATTAGAGTATTACATTAATGAAGCATCTGTATTTTTATTAATTGAAATAGAAGGGATACTTAAAGATTGTATGAGAGGGCCCAATAGAGGCATCCTACCCCTACGATACCAAGTACAGTACTACCCAAACAAAAGAATACAGAGAGACTCAAGAAATTTAAAACATGCAAAAAGTAAAAAAGAAAAAAAAAACAAGTAGCTAGGGACGAGCCAGTTTAGTTCTGCCTCTTCCTCTAGTTTTTGGAGCGGAGCTAGATAACAAAGTTTGAAGGGTCGTGTCATTGCTAACCAATGTATCATCCATTAAGTTTTCAAGTTGAAGTGTGCCCCCAGCCTTCCTCTTCCGCCGAGAATTGTAAAACGGTCATTCTTCATCTGAAAACTGGCTCATGTGATCCTCGGTCTGATTAGATATTAGAACAGCAGTAGAAGGAAAGACATTCGTTGCCACAATAATAGGTTCAAGAGTATTTGAAGTGTGAATTGTCACATCTGCACCTGTGCTTCCTGAATAGGAGTTGTGGGGCTATTCTGATTTTTGGTCCAAACATTATCTCTTATAGTATGGTCAGGAGCAGGGTTCTCAATGGCAGACACCATTCTTGTGATGAATCCCTCCTCAGGTTCGTTGTCATCATGTTTGTTAGGAGTGCGTTCAGGTGCACTAACAGCATGTTCCTGGTTATGACTATTAGTTCTCAACTGTAAATGCAGTCTGAAACATTTCTCTTGCAGGTGTCCAAACATCTTGCAGTGTTTGTCGTAGTAAGGTTTTTGTTCTATAACAATTTTTTGCCAATAACAGTGTGAGCAGAGCCAAGTCAGACTTCTTCTACGTCTGATAGTGTAATATCTCTTTCAATCAAAATCCTTGCAATAAAAGGCCTTGAGAAATGAACTGTAGATGTGTTTACCTGCAAAGATTTTCTAAAGATAGTCTCAATTGCATATAAGATAGGTAGGTCAAAAAATTGAAGCTTGAGTTCAGGTAATGAGAACCAGATAGACGCATTTGAGGGTTCTTGACTGGGATCAAAATCAGGGGTCCATTTGAGCAATTTCATATGATTGCCCTCGATTGTGATGAATTTCTTTGAGAAAATCCTTGTGTAATCTTCTTCGATGCTCAGTTGCATCATAACATATCTTCCGTCGAAAAGAACCACCTGCAAAGCCCTAACTAGTTTGAAATCTTCAAAAACCTTCCTGATAACCTCCATCCTAGAGCGACCTAATTGGAACTTTCCAACAAATAAAAATTTGTATTTTCTCACACGAGTTGAAATTTCAACGTCAGAGAAGAATAGTGTTAGTTTTTTCGCTTTTTTCTCTACTTTTTTTTATGAGATTACAATCTCCAAATCATGCAATAGAAACATCGAACTATCTGCAATGTGGAAAGGAAAGCTGCGTTTGTGAACCACTGTAGCATCGGCAGGTTTGACGGATTATCACCTGCGACAGCAGCGGCGTAAGAAAGCACCTTGAGGCCATCTCTAGCAGACGAGAAAGGCCACAAACTGCGACTTGGGACAAAGACTGCGGCCGGTTTCAGTCACTGTGTGAGGAAATATCGCGGAGTAGGTAGCAGACGAGAACGCAGTTTGCGACCGTGGACGAAGGCTGGCCGACACACTCAAACGCAGACGACGACGAAACAGACGACGGCGGAGAAAGACGCAATCTGCGACGTGACCAAGGACGAAGGCTCGGCCAGCAGCGTGTGAGTCTGCGTCTGAAGCCTACGGAACAATAGCACGACGAGGACGATGGAGTGAAGCCAGAGGTTAACACTAGGTTTTGCCTGAGGTTAACATTGAGTTTCGCCATCAGGCGAAACCCTAGCAGAGTAAGGGTTTTGGGGTAATGTAATATATACAAATGTTGTTAGTGCACATATATTACATTACCCTAGAAGTCGGAGGTTAACGCTGGATTTCGTCCAAAGCCTATATACAGATGCTTCATTAATGTAATATATGCTAGATTACATAAAAAAAAACATTCTCAAAGTAAGGGTTTTGGGGTACATGGTGGATCAATAAACAGAACTGCAGTAACAAGTATCAAACCATTAGAGCATGCTCATAGTGATAGAAAAATTTTGTGAAGTAACTCACTTTACTTTAGAAGTTATTTGTACATCTTATATAAGCAAGTTTTCTTCATGAAAATAATTACATAATATGATTTGATAAGAAAATATTATTCTTTATGATATCAAAGTTGTTTTTATTTAATTTTGAAGAGACTATTAATTTTCTTTAAACTTGCCTTAACTTTCATGAAGCTTAAACAATTGAAATAGAAGTTAAGTTGTAGTGAATAAAAACATAGAAAATTAATTAAAATGTTTACATAGTGGAAGTATAAAAATTTGAAATTGCAAGTTCCTACAATTAACTCCATGAACTTGACAATGGGGGCATTTCTTTGCAATCTTCATGCAATTTGCCGTAACGGCCAGCTAACAATACCCCAATCTCTTGATCTTCATCTTCGTCTTTCGTCCAGAATAGTGAGCACTCCACAGGCCTCAGTAAACTTCTTTAATGATTTGATCGGCTTCAAATTTGCTCAAACAACACAGCCACATCTGGTTGAATCATCTTCTGTCCAGAACCCCATCATCAAGGTACATGATAACACTTTTTTTCTTGATTTGATTGGTAAACAATTTATCTTCAGGCAGCTTCCTCGTTTGTAAGTGCATGACGAATGGTTGGTGTCAACCTTCATTTTCTTCTCCAATTACAGCTAGTATTGTATTGGCACCGATCTTGTGTAAATTATCCATGTTGACTCGAGGAAGAACTAGAAGGTCGTGAACTGAAATTAGGATCAAATCTTCTTATGGACACGCAAATTCCTTTGTTAGCATCCAAAGCATATACTAAAGAGTTCTCTCCCCTTAGAATCTTGTAGAGATCACATTTAGAATCTATTCTTACAACTTCATTGTATATTAGAAATATTTCCCTAGCTTTGGCTTCAAAACTTTGTATCTACCAGGGACTTGATTATTGGTCAACTGAGAATCATCATAGACATTGGTATCATTTATTCGAATTAGAATTTTTAGTTCCAATCCTATTATCAATGCTTCATGTTTTTTTTCGTTACTCATACAGTGCTCTGTCAAGTGGTAGGAGAACCTCAGCATCCTCTTCTCTGGAATGATGAAGATTATTTAACCCTTCTTTACCGGGCACTATCACTTACAATTCTTTGTCCTTCTGGGTTGAAGAAGCCCCGTCAAAAAATATCTCCAAACTTTGACCAATGAGGTTTGTTCATGGTTTGTTCATCTGGCAAGGCATCGCTCATCTGGCAAGGCATCTGGCAAGGCATCGCTCATTTGTCAATCTTCAAGTTCATGGTTTGTTCATCTGGCAAGGCATCGCTCAAAGGAGACACTTCTGGTAATGCGTGTGTCGCCAAGAAGTCTGATTTACCCTTTGATGATACACAAAGGAACAAAAGTTATGTTGAACTGTAATTGTATCATCGATCACCTTGCTAATCTTCTAGAAAATATCAGTTGAGTCATCAAATATTTTAATGGATTAAACCTTGAGATATGATTGACCTTGTGAGACCATATAATTTCTAAGCTTTTGAGCTATGGAGATTAAAGCTATACAATACTTATCAATCAGAGTATACCTTTTGTTAGTCGAAATTAGAAGATAACTCAAATGATAGAGAGCATTTTTCTTGCCCTAGTCATTGACTGGCACTAGCACATCTCCAAGGGAGTCATCTAAAGCAACGGTATAAAGTATTGAAGGTCTACATAAGATTGAGGTTGTTAAAATAAGAAGTTTCATCAAATAATATTTTATGCTTTTGAAAGAATATAGACATTTAATGTCCCAAACATACTTGGCATCTTTCCCGGTCAACGCAATAAAATGTTGGCACCTACCTGAAAAATTAGATAAAAAGCATCTTAGATATGTCAGCTTTCCTTGGAAGGATTGCAATTGAGTAAAACTCTTTAGGAGCATCATCTCTAAGACAACATTAACCTTTTGTGGATTGGTTTCAACCCTGTGGTATCGAAAAATAAATCCTAAAACCTTTCCTAAGGTGACGCCAAATGCGCACTTTAAGAAATTAATCTTAAGATTATATTATCGCAACTATTGGAAAAAGATTCTCAAATAATATAAATTTTCATCATTTTCTCTACCCTTAACAACTAAGTCCTTCACATTACACTCGACCTCATTGTTTGAACACAATAACATGCAATCTATGAGCAAGACACCATTTGAATTTGTTCAAGGGCTACATACCAAAACTTCTCCAGCTCCTATCCCTTCACCAATACATGCATACTTTGATTATGTAGCATCATTTGCACACATAATAATTATTTAAATTCTGAAGTTAAAATGTAGACTGACGTGCATAGTACAAGATATTCAAACAATATCAATGTCAAAAGAAGTGCATGAAAGTATAACAAAAATGACCATCAAAGTTTGTAAGCTTTCTGAGCCCTATTCCCTAACCAGATCCATAACCAACGCATTAAGATCATTAATTTTGTTTTATGGTCACTAATGTCAATCAAGTTTTTAGATTTCCAACAATGTCATGATTTGAGGTTTTCGCCATAACTTATGCCATTAGGTGATGCAATTCTGAACGCATTCTCAGATGGCATCAGAAGACAGACAGCCCTGATATACATCAACAAAAAATTTAAGTTTATAGAAACCATATAAATGTAAATATGTTAAAATCCTGAAAATACAATTTGAATTACATTTTTTGCATAAATGAATGCAAAGTCGTACCAATAAAAATAAATACTTACAGATCCATGCCACTCAGCACGAAACACCGTTCCAAATGATCCTGCAGTCAAAGAAAACGGCCAAGAAGTAAAGAAAAAAAAAAATGATAACCAAAACAACTAGATTTCACAGAAACTGAATAAAGAAGTACCGGCACCGACACGCTCCCTTATTTCTAGTTCATCCCATGAAATTTCAGGCCAGTCCATGGTGAGAGGTGGTTCAAGACTTGTGTATCTCTGAATGTTTGCTTCCCGAGGAATTGGTTTATCATCACACATGATATCGTTTTCCCTGCATTCAAATTGTATAGATACTTCTAATTTGGATGGAACACTCGTCGTCTTTCCAATTTGATAATTTGAGATCATGCCTCTGTTATTTGTGTCTTGAATAAACTCTGTGCCCACATTTACTCTGGGATCAGGATGTAAAATTTTTACAACAGCTTCATCAAGAAAACCTGATATGAAATGATGGAGGATAAACCTTCTAAAAGAAAGAATCAATACAAAAAGTTTGCTGATTATAGGTAAACAAAAAAAGAAAAATATTAAAATCAGAAAATGGAATGAAGATGAAGAATTAGAATTCTCCATGTCATGCAATTCCAAGACTGACATTAAATTAATTCTGAAAAAGAAGTTCTTACATTAATTTGCACGTATAAAAAACTCTATACAAAAGAAAGTACATTGCTACTTGCAAGTTCAAAAGGATAAGTAAAAATGAGTTCAATAGAAGTTCAAAAAAAAAAAAAACCAGAAAATAAAAACCCATTGCCCATTGCACACGATTTTGAACTGAATACTGCAAACTGAAATTAGAAGTTGAAAACTAATATGTTTTTCTTAATTTTATCTTCTCACCAATACTTATTTAAAACTAATGTGCTTTTCAAAGCTTGTAGTGGAATATATATTATGCTCGATATTATATCAACTTATTTCGCTGAATTTAGGTCCTATGCCGAAATCAAACTGGTTTTGGGACTTCTGCTGGGTTTGGTTGGATGAATTGGTTGACTGGAGCTTTTCTGGAAGCTTGTGGATTGATTTCTCATGGAAAAGACATTGTAATATTTATCAGTGCAAGTAATCCATTGAATTTTTCATAGATTGTGCTGCCCATATTAAAAGCTGGAGATTGATCTGGGTCTTCGATGTGCGAGTTTGGCCCGTTTTTCCTATAAAATTGGTGATCTCCAGCTTTTATTGATGCATGTGGATAGACTTCTTAGATTTTCTCTTTTTTCTGATGCATTTTCTTTGTGTTTTGAACAGAACTTTTTCTGTTAGGGAGGCTGGTGCTGTTATGCAGGTGTACGAAAGTTGGCTGCCTGTCATTCTCATTGTTGGATGCCTATAATTGATCTAGTAAAATGATTGGCAGTTGAAGAGTCATAAATTCCTGCTATAATGTTAAAGGGACTGATACAAAATTTATAAGAATTTCAAAAGAAAAATGTTAAAACCAACTACAAAAAATAAGATAACGCATTGGCAACTAAATTTGCTTGATCGGCACAATACTGTGTATTCAGATTATAGTCTTTGATCAGCTCTAACCATCTCTTCTGCCTCAAATTCAGCTCTTTTTAAATGAAAATGTACTTCAAACTCTGATTATCGGTGAAGACTTTGCAATTCACACCATACAACTAATGCCTACAAACCTTAAGAGCAAGCACTTCAACTGCTAACTCTAGATCACGTGATCAAAAATTTCTTTCATGTGTTTTCAACTGTCTGGATGCATGAGTGATTACCTTTTTATTTTGCATTAGCACATCCTAAGCCTTGCAATGATGTGTCACTGCAAATCTAAAATCTTTTCGTACCTAATAGAATAGATAACACTAGAGCAATGGTCAAATGTTTTTTTAATTTTGGAAAAGTTCACATTCTGCACTCCACTCAAATTGGGCATCTTTCATCATCAGTTTAGAAATGGCATAGCTATATGTGAAAATCCTTTAATAAATCTCCTATAATATCAAGTCAAAACAAACAAACTATGCACCTAGGTAACATTCTTTCGAGTAGATCATTTCACAATTACTTTCACCTTCTGAAGGAAGGACTGATATTCCTTGTCCGCTGATAAAATGCCTCAAGAATATAATATTCTTCATCGAAAATGTACATTTTTCACAACTTTGTTATAGCTGATTCTGCCTCAACAACTCCAATATTATCCTCAGATTTTTGGCATAATCATCATCAATTCTTGAAAATATCATAATATCATTAATAAAAATAATAACAAACTAATTCACATAAAGCTTAAAGATTCAATTCATAAAGTCCATAAATACAACATAAGCATTGGTTAAACCAAAATGCATAACTAAGAATTCATAATGACCTTATCTGATCCCAAAAACTTTTTTAGTTACATATGCTTCATTGACTATAACTTGATGATATCCTAATCTCAGATCAAACCGATAAAATATAGTAGCATCTTCTAACTGATCAAATAGATTATTGATCCAGGGCAAAAAACATATTTGTTCTTGATTGTTACCTTGTCATGCCCAATATAATGATTGCAAAACAATGTAGATCCATATTTCTCCTTGACAAAAAATATTGGAGAACCAGGTGAATTTTGTTGGCTTAATAAAACCCTTATCTATCAGTTCCTACAATTGATATTTCAATGCTTTCTATTCCTTCAGAGGAATTCTATATAGACTTGAAAATTAAAGACATCTCTGGCTACACATCAATGCTCAATTCAGCTTTTTGATATGGTAATAGCCTGGTAATTCTTTTGAAAATACATACAAAAAACCTGCAACAACTAGGATGTTTATTCAATTCCTGCACATCTTTATTTAACAATTCTAATTTAACTAGAAAAAAGAGTTCACCATTTCGCAAAGTTTCATTGCATTAATTAGAGAAGATTGTTCATTTCGATCAAATAAGATATAGAACAGATTTCCATCAGGTAAATTGAGTTTCACTCACCTTTTTCACATTCAACTGTAGCAAAAAGCTTTAACAATCAATACACTCTCAAAATGACAACAAAAGTGTGAATTGGTATTATGATTAATTCTACCTACAGCTTCTTATCATGAATGCTAACGAAAACTACACATTTTTATTTACATAAAAACTATTTCTCAAAAACAATATAAAAGGCTGGCATAAAGGGAATAAAATTAACATATAAGCTGGCAGCAAATTCATCATAAATGAAAGAATGAAATGCACCTAATGTGAATAAAATAGTGTGACTCATCTTGAAACAAAAGTGTACCTATAACCACTTCAAATTTCTTGGCTTATTAAAGAGGAATTGCAAAAGCATTGGCCTTCGTTGATTGCTCAATTCTGCGCTAGAAAGTTTTACCAGTAACTTGAGTTGAAAGCTTTTCCAAAATCGAGTTTTGCTCAACTGATTGTCTTCAAAAAATTTCCCTGGTTGTCCCTGTCCATGAAATTTCGATGGTATGCGATATCTTTTCCTTCCCTGCGAACAATTCATTTGATGATGCATTGATTTTCCACATTTGTAGCACTTTCCTGAACCCATCAGACACTGGCCAAAATATATTTTTCAACACTTTTTTAGAAACTAACCTTTCTAACCGAGGCTGCTCTTCTTATCTTTTGATTTAATTTTTTCCTTTGTTGAAACCTTTTCTCTTGCTTGCCTAAGGTTTCCACCGCTGACTTGAGAAGTTCAGCTCATATTATATTTGTCTGCCTCTTTCAGCCGGCATTAAGAAAACACTGATTTTAAACATCGACAAAAACAACCTTAATTGATTTCTGAGGTCGAGTAGATATTTGTGGCATTCTTCCTGGGTATTGATATAATGTTGTGCATATCTGGAAAGAGATAAATTTTGCCTCATAATGTATAATTAATCTCAAACCCTGAATCGGATTGAAAAAATTATCTTGCAATGTTAATCAGACTTAAGGCAAAATGAACCAATCCTTGAATTCTCTAACAAAATTATCTCACTTGATCTGTGAAAGAAGTGTTAGCTGAAATTTTTCTCTTTGTTGAGCTAGTCAACACCTATCTGCCTCGCCTTTAACATGAAAGTGACTAGCTCCACTCTTTCAGTTTTCCGGACAAATTATGTTGTTCAGAATCTTCCAAATATTTAATAGCCACTCCTCAACAATTATAGTGTCTGTGGCACTCTTAAATACAGGTGGTTTAAATGTCTTAAAAATCTTCAAGTATCAATCAATTTCTACCCTAAGTTCAAATCTAAGCTTTAAGCGAGTGGATGATACTTCAATGGCAGCCAATTTGTAAACCACTTGCGATATCAATTGAATAATGCTCTATAACTCAATGATTCCAATTTCCTCATTTTTTTCTGTTCTGATTATCAGTTCTGTTAAAGACATTTTTAACTCGTACTTCTTGCTCTACAATTGGCATAGTAAACTGACCCTTAACACTTTCTTATTCTCTTTCAAGCATATTTATCGATTTAGACATATTCATCTGTAATGACACAATTTATTATTCAAATGCAATTAATCATATACGTTAAGTTGTAAGGGATACCCACCCAGATTCATATACCTATAACTGTGTAAATAAATTCATATTTAATCTCATTCTAACTTCTTCCAAATCTAACACGCTTTATCATTCTTTTCATCCAATAAACATGCTCTAATTCACATTATGTCACACCCCAATTGGACCCCCTTAAGGGTCAACTGCGATGCGACAGAGGCGAACAATTTGGTAAGACTAAATTCTCAACATGACTCATCCTGATTTACAAAATTAGGATGTAGTCAATGAACTAGTCTAACTAAACCTTAGTAAACAAACTTAATAAATTTCACTTCATAATTCATTTATATGCATATACTTGAAAGCATGGTAAATCATATCACCAAAACATGTATATCTATACAGACTACTAAATCCAAAATAATAAAAACACGTACCAAAAAGTCTGTACAGACACTCAAAATTATGAAATGCAAAAACTATATAAGTCGCACTTGGCTACTCGCCCTAGTGCCTCACACCTTCCTAAAAGTCAATAATATATAGTGAGCAGCAACGAGCTCATAAAAATAATCAAGGCTAAAAAAAATTTCTATATGAAATGACATAACATGTATGCTCATATATATCTCATGAAAATGTTCACAACACAAGGCACAACATGCTAAAATCGTATAAAACATGTAAAAGAAAAGACATGTAATTAAAGGAATCATAATTGCTATAAAACATATATTTCATTCATTCATATGTAATCATAACCATATTCATAAGAGTCATCAGTCTAATCATAGGAATGTAACATGTAATTGTATAAGTAGGGCAGTAATCGAGTTGAATGGAGCCAATTAGGTCATTGTTCGGACTTGAATTGGTTTAATTATAAGCTATCTATGTTCGAATTGAGCTTGTGTCGAAGTTTCATATATTATTCAAGCTTGACATTGTTACATTTTT